TGTGCCTGTAGTCCCAGCTACCTGGGAGGCTGAGGCAGGTAGATCGCTTGAGGCTACGAGTCTGAGACCAGGCTGGGCAATGTAGCAAGATCCCATCTCTACAAAAAAACAAAAGAATTAACCAGGTGTGGTGGCATGCATCTGTAGTCCCAGCTACTCAGGAGGCTGAATCAGGAGGATTACTTGGGCCCAGGAGTTTGAGGCTACAATGAGCTATAATCAGGCCGCTGCACTCCAGCCTGGATGACAGATTGAGACCCTATGTCTAATAAAAAAAAAAAGATGTATGCACTTTATGGTGTTTAATTATACCCCACTAAAATTTAAAACAAAACAATAACAGCACCTTCCTACCAGAGGTTTTTGAGAAGATGGGTGGAGCGGAAGAAGGTATTTGGGCTGGGGTGCTTGCTGGACGCCAGGGAGAGAGGGACTCACTGCCAGAGTTGCCTCTTGATGCACCCAAAAAAGTGCCAGGAAGATCAAGCATGGAGCAGCCTAAAAAGACAGAGGGAGCTGAAGAAGGGCTGATGTAAGTGCAAAGGATACAATGCCAGAGAGTAAAAAGCAATCCAATTAGATGAAAACAAATTTAGTTTCGGCCAAACAAAACTGCCTTTTAATGTTTATTATAAATCGGCACCTGAACAAAACCATCAACTACTTCGAGCCAGAGAAAAAAAATCATGAGCACCTTGATGTAATTTTGCAAGTATGAACTGAGAGCCTTCCATGTGTCCGAATCCATGCTAGGCACGGGGCCAGGAATCTGTGACTCTACTCAGCTGCTTTCTGGGAAGTAAAAGTGGGAGGAAGCGAAGAAGTTGGCAGTTAGAACCACAAGGAAAAGCTGCATTGTGTCGGAGAAAATCCCTAGCGTTGAATAGGGGCTGAGGCTGAGGGGAGCAGAGGACAGTTCAAGAGAGCAGGGACAGGGGGAGTTTGGGGCGCAGGAATCACACTGGCCTCTCAGACTCGGTAGTGACAGCTTTGGCTATAAGAGAGGGATTCCCTTCCCCCAACCCGGGAGGGCCCTGAGTTTGGCAGAGCCTGGGGGGATAGGGCAACACCTCTCCCCTAAGACTTTATCAAAATTCCACTGCTGAAAATTCCACTGCTGAATCTGCCAGAGCCCAGAAGGGCCTTTTAGATCATGACACCAGAAATTCAGATTCAGTTAAGCTGGTGTGTTGGGATAATGGGGGGTTGTCCAAGAACAGAAATATAAAATATTATTATTTTTTTTATTTTAGAGACAGGGTCTTACTCTGTCACCCAAGTTGGAGGGGAGTGGCATGATCATAGTTCACTGCAACCTCCAACTCCTGGGCTCAAGTGATCCTCCTGCCTCAGCCTCCCCTGGGCTACTTTTTTTATTTTCTGTAGAGATGGGGTCTCACTATGTTACCCAGGCTAGTCTTGAATTCTTGGCCTCAAGCAGTCACAGGCCACTGGACTGACCTGAAATTTAAATTTTTAACAAGCTCTCTAATGATTCTGATGGGGGGGTGGAGGGATTTTTTTTTTTTTTTTGGAGACAAGTGTCTCCCTCTGTCACCTGGGCTAGAGTGCCCTGGCATCAGCCTAGCTCACAGCAGCCTCAAACTCCTGGGCTCAAACGATTCTCCTGCTTCAACCTCCCGAGTAGCTTGGGATTACAGGTGCACACCACCACTCCTGGCTAATTTTTGTATTTTTGGTAGAGATAGGGTCTCGCTCTTGCTCAGACTGGTTTCTAACTCCTGATCTCAAGCAATTCTCCCACCTCAGCCTCCCAGAGTGCTAGGATTACAGGCATGAGCCACGATGCCTGGCATGAGAGATGTTTCTTAAACTGTGGTTGGAACAACTCTGAGGAGAACTCCATCTAATCCTCTCATACAGATGTCTCCTGGTAAACCACGAAGCCGATCTTCCTCAAGCCTAATCTAAACCCTTTCTGTTGTGGGTTGGGGTGCTTTTCTTTAAAAAAATAAAAATAAAAAATAAACCCTTTCTGCTGACATTGTGATCAGCATGCCCCTGCCTGCCTTGTTTGGTCAGAAATAAAATGTTTCTAAACTGGAGTGGTGGCTCATGCCTGTAATCCCAGCACTTTGGGAGGTGGAGGCAGGAGGATAGCTTGAGGCCAGGAGTTCTAGATCAGCATGGGCAACACAGCAAGACCCTGTCTCTACAGAAAAAAAAAAAATATAGCAGGGCCTAGTGGCATGTGCCTGTAGTCCCAGCTACTCAGGAGGCTGAGGCAGGAGGACCACTTGAGCACAGGAGTTCAAGGCTATGATTGTGTCACTGTGGATTGTGTCACTCCAGCCTAGGGTGACAGAGTGAGACATTCTGTCTCAAAAAAAAAAAAAAACAAAAAAAAAACGTAAACTTTTTTTTATTTCTGCTGCTGGATGTAGGCCAGTAAAAAATAAGGCACCCAAGGGGTTAAGTGAAGAGTTTGGGCTTCTCATTGTTTCTACTTTATTCCTTGCTACCCTAAACCATGTTGTCTCTTCTCACTGTGAACTACGAATTTAGAGGAACTTCTGGGTCACCTGTGCAAGGGGAGATAGTTGCCCCCAGGAGACAGAATTATCATTCTCTTGCTTATTTATTCAAAACGTGTTTGTACCAAGTTGGCAAGTAGGTGGAGCAACTGGAAACCCTTGTACACTGCTGGTGGGAATGTTAAATGGTGCAATCACTTTGCAAAACAGTTTGGCAGTTTCTTGTAAAATTAAAACATAAACTTACCATATGACCTAGCAATTCCACTTCCAAGTATTTATCTGAGAAAAATAAAAACATATGTCCCCAAAAGACTTATACAATAATGTTCATTGGTGCTTTATACATATTAGCCCCAAACTGGAATCAATTCTAATGCTTATCAATATAAATTGTGACATATCCATATGACAAAATGCTATTTGGCAATAAAAAGGAATAAATTAGCATGGATGGGTCTCAAAAACATTTTGCTGAGTTAAAACACCTTATTCACAAAAGGACACACTGGATGATTCCAATTATATGAAATTCTAGAAAAGACAAATCTCTACTACAGTATTAAAAAGTAGGTTAATGGCTGTCAGAGTCTAGGTGAGAGATTGGGGATTAACAGAG